TCTTTCTCTTCTCCTCCCTGTTTTTGGCAGCAGCCAGCAGACCTAATAACTGCTCACTACTGCATCATCAGCCTTTTAATCCCGAGATCTTTATAATCCTTTGAAGCAGATGCTGTAAAACTTACAGAGCAGTTACAATGCAATGTCAGCGCTGACATATTGCAGAGTCGCTTAATGCTATTATTATACTAGACAATGCATGGCCAGTCACTGATTCTGGACAAATTACCGCACTTCAAATAGAAGCACATCAAAGATCCCTCCAGTTGGCTCCACATGCCACATAGACAACAATACAAAAACGCACATATTCCCCGACAGTGGTGATGGCTGTTCAGCATGAGAGTTTGAAAACAGAACATGGACTAATGGTCTTATCAAAGCGAGCACCCTGACCTTTTGGATGAGTGGGGAGGGGGTGGGCGGGGGGGGCCATGCTGTATTCATGCCTCTGAACTGAGTGAACCTGAACAACCACAAAACACACCCAACCCTAATGGCAAGCACAGCCCCGAGCGGTAATCACAGGGGCCTGCCCACGCCGGGCCTGCTGAGGGGACCCCTATAATCAACGTGGGGCCCTTCTTTGTCCCCCACACTACCATGGCATTACAGGAATACTTCACCCACCAAATGACCATTTGTTCATCAGTTACTCACCCTGTGTTACCTTAAACTCTCACACAGCTTGTGCAGTATAATCCAAGTCGTGTGCTCAATACATCTGAAACAGACAGCCCTCGAATGAAATGTATCTATGCTCTCTTCAAAGCCAGAATCCATTCACAGAAACAATAATTTTACATCGCTGAATACGGGAGCTGCTGGTCTACTGCTGCCTTGATCAGTTAGTTTGTTTGTGTGTTGTGTGACTTTGGTGTTTTAAAGATTTAGTTTTGATTCACCAAAGTCACAAAGCAACATAAACTAACTAACTAATCAAGGCAGCGGTAGACCAGCAGCTCCCGTGTTCAGCGAGGTAAAATTATTGTTTTTGTCAATGGAGTCTGGCTTTAAGTAATACAATTTCACTTTCAGTTTGGATCATGTTTGTTTGGGAAGTATTTAGCTAACGACTGGATAACTAAGACTCATTATACTGTATTTTACTGCATGAGTAGTGTGAGAGTTTGTAAATGCATGTTCTGATAAAGTTAAAATTAGGGCTGCCCCTGACCAAGAATTTTCCTAGTCGACCAATAGTCATCATTCAGGGCTATTAGTTGACTAGTTGTTTACGATATTAATTAAATTATTAAATTATATAATTTGGGCAGCGCAACACAATGGTTTGAGTTCAAGGTCTGAGAAAAAATAGTATCAGTAACACTGTTAACATTGTGCTACATTACAGAGAAATACAAAACCGTACTAATGAACCTTCATTAA